ACATAACTCAAGTCTCAGTTGTACAAGACACTTTCTCAGACAGGATACTTTAAGGGCTCAGAGGTTATTTGCCAGAAGCTAGTCAAGGACCAATTCTGATGACTGTTGAAATATGTATAATTTGGGCAACCATGTCTGTTAAGTTAAATCTTTACTGGATAGTCCACACCTATGCTCTCTTATAGCAAAATGATGCTATTTATCTGAGCATCTACATTTAACATAGCATTTATCTAATAAATTTAGCAATAATATCAATATGAATATTCATAACATTTGAAGAAGGCAGCATGTGGTAGGGGAAAAAAATGACTAATCTACTCTATAAATCCATTACATACATTTTCATGCTTTTCTACAAATTCAATTACTTGTTTCCCTCTTGATCTACTGCTTTTACCTTATGATAAACGTGTGCAAAACTATTTATTATAGAAATTAGTATACAGTTGGAGAGGGCCATGAGTGACTATCCTATTTACAATTGCAACAAAAAGAATAAAATACTTAAGGATAAATCTAACCAAGGAGGTGAAAGACCTGTAAACTGAAAACTATAAAACATTGATGAAAGAAATGGAAGAAGACGCAAATAAACGGAAAGATGTCCTGTGCTCGTGGATGGAAGATAATACTGTTAAATATTGTGCAGCCACTTTGGAAAAAGCATAGAGGCTTCTCAAAAAGTTAAAAATAGAACTACCATATGATCCAGCAATTCCACTTCTGGATCTCTATCTGAATGAAATTAAAACACTGTCTTGAAGAGATATCCTATGTTCGTTGCAGTATTTATCACAATAGTGAAGGTGTGGAGACAACCCAAATATCTGTCAACATATGAATGGATAAAGAAAATGTGGTACACATATGCAGTGGAATACTAATCAGCATTTTAAAAAGAAGGACATCTTCTGTTGGTGACAACATGTATGAACCTGTAAGACATTATGCTAAGTGAAATAAGCCAGACGAAGAAAGGAAATGCATTTCCCTTCTCATTTATATGTGGAATCTCAATGGTCCTACTCATGGAAGCAGAGAATAGATAGCAGTTACCAGGGGCTGTGTTGAGGGGGTTATGAGGAGATGTTGGTCAAGGGGTACCAGCTTTCGGTTATGCAAGATGAATAAGTTCTAAAGATCTACTGTACAACAATGTGACTATAGTTAACAATGTCATATTGAATACTTCAGATTTGCTGAGAGTAGATCTTATGTGTCTTCATGACAAAAAAAGTACAAAAAAGGAAAAAGTAACTATGTGAGGAAATGAATTTAAAAAACATGAAAAGGATTAAAAGAAAAACCATAGACTGAGAGATATTATTTGCAAACTATGTATCCAACAAAGAACTCAAATATAGAATATATGAAGAACTCTCAAAGTTCAACAATTAAAAACAAATAATCCATTTAGAAAATGGGCAAACGAACAGACATTTCACCAAAGAGGATATAAAGATGGCAAATAAGCACATGAAAAGATGTTCAAAATCGCTAGCAATTAGGGAAGTGCAAATTAAGAGCAGGAGGAGGTACTAGTACCTATCTATTAGAACAGCTAGAATTAAAAACCGTGACAATACCAAACGCTGAAGAGGAGAAGCCGAATCTCTCATACATTGCCACTAAGAACGTTAAATGGTGCAGGCACTCTGAAAAAGATAGTTTGGCAGTTTTTCAAAAAGCTAAACTCACAAATATCATACAGTTCAGCAATCACACCCTTAGGCGTTTATCCAGAGAAATGAAAACTTATGTTCACAGAAAAACCTGTACACAAATGTTCATAGCAGCTTTATTTGTAATAACCAAAATCTAGAAACAGCCAAAATGTTCTGTAACGTGTTAATGGTTAAATAAACTGCAGTACACCCATACTGTGGCATACTATGCAGCAATAACAGGAACAAACGACTGATAGATACAGTGATCTCCAAAGGTGATAATCTGTATGATTGCATTTATATAGCATGCTCACAATGACAAAACTAGAGACATGGAGAACAACTTGTTATGTGCTGGGGTTAGGGATGCTGGGAAAGCAGGGGGTTGAGTGTGACTACAAAGGGGCAGCACAAGAAGGATCTTTGTGGTAATTGAATAGTTCTGTATCTTGATTGCTTACACTAATCAGCACTTGTGATGAAATGACAGAGAAGTATACCTCAACATTGCGCCAATGTCAATTTCCTTGTTTAGATATTGTATCATAGCTATCCAAAATGTAACATTTGGGGAAACTGGGTAAAGAGAACACAGGATTTCTTTACGATATTTGCAACTTCCTGTGAATCTATAACAATTTCAAAATTAGAACCTAATAAAATAAATAAATGAAGACATAGTTATAGCCAGGAGATTTATGTGTTTGGTGAGACAGTATTCCTTGGTGCGAGGAGCCATGGATTTGGAGTCAGATGGACTAAAAAGTCCCATTCCTGACTTCATGGCTTACCAGCTGTGTGGCCTTAAGAAAGTCAATTGACCTCTCTGAGCTTCAGTTTTCTATTCCATGGAATGGTCTTTGTCAATTTTCTAGCCTAAACTTTAGCCATTTGTATATCATCTTACAACGTTTTTGCCATATCATCTATAGGCTTTAGCATAATTCAGTTCATATTTTTTACAGAAATCAACACAGTCCATTTACTTAAACCCATATTTGACCACATCCTAAGTGATGCTATCTGTAGAATCATCAGATCGAGGGCTAGTGATTTTTTTCTCAAATGAGCATTAAAATAAACATTATTAAAAACATGTACTTATTTTGCTACCTAAATTATCACTTATATCACCAGTGACATGGGTTGCACGTTTCAGGGAACACTAGCTTAGCCCAAATACTTTACCTTACAGATGAAGAAAGCGATGTCTTATAGACAAAAAGAAATGAACTTTCAGCTTTGAAAGATCTCTTAAAATGTAAATCACAATTCCCCATCACATATCAAATAAATTCTAACGTCTTAATAGAGCCCCGTAAGCTCTGAGTGATACGGCCCTGCTTGCCTCTGTGATTTTGGTTTCTGTTATCCATTCCCTCCCTCGCTCCACTCCAGGCACACTTGACTTTTCGCTCTTCCTAGGGCACTTAGCACCTCCCTTCCTCAGAGCCTTTGCTTTTGCTGTTCTCTCTGCCTGGAAGATCCTGGATATCCATGTGGCTCACTTCCTCAGTACATTTAGGTTTCTACTTAATGTTAATTCCTCAGAGAGTCCTTCCTTGAATAACTTGTTCAAAATAGACAGACACATACATGTACATCATATTATTCCCTATCCCTTACCCTGCTTTCTTTTTCTTTATAGCACTTGTCACCACCTGGCGTTACGTGTTTGCTGTTTCTCTCCCTAGTCAGAATGGCAGGACTTTGCTCTCTTCTCCTCTTAGACCCGAGGCCTAGAACTGTGTCTAGTATATAGATCCGTATTCAACCGACTCCTCCGTGCTCCCTGCAGAATCTGAGAGAAGTGGTCATGCAGGTGCAGCTTGTAGCATTCGGATACCAGGAGCCACCACTTCTCCCAGACAGTCCAACCATTTCCAGATGGTTCTGCTCATCAAAGGTCTTTCCAATTAAATAAACCTGCCCCTCCTCCCCCCCCCACCCCCGGCAATTTCTATTCAAGACTTTTAGTTCTGCTCTCTAGGCCTGCACAGATCATGCCTTCTAGAAGATAGCAGGTATAACTCTTTTCAGCCCATTACTGCTTTTCTGGTTAAACAGGCTGCTCCTTCCATCACTACTCAGGCATAATCCTCTGGGATGATAGAAAGAACATGTGCAGTGGGGACAGGTAAGCCAGATCTAAATCCAGACCTCAATCCTAAGCATAGTATAATCCTGAGCAAATCATCTGCCTATTGGGGATCCTGCGAGGATGCTAGGGGTCATGTATGTAAAGTGCCCACCATAGTTACTGATGGACAGTGAGACTTCAGTGGATGGTTTCATGCTCACTGTTTTCCTGGATATCAAGGGCAAAACAGATTAGCTGAACCCCATTAGGCTGTCTCTAATACTTTCCAACTGTGGAAAGAAGAGACTGGAATAGCAGAGCACCAGCCCCATCAAAAGGTCTGAAATGACCATAAGACAGACCAAGGACCCAAGAAAGAAAACCCAGTGGACTCACAGACAGACTTCCTGATGGAGCCCGGGCAGTGCCCCCTTCTATGCTCCCTTTGTTGGGGAACTTGCAGGAAACAGTTTTGCTCTGTTCCTCAAGGCTGGAGTCCAAGAAAGGCCCAGATGCAGCCAATATTAAGGATTTGGAGCAAGAAATAAGGAGAAATATGCAGATTTAAAAAGAGCTGTACTATGAGTGGGGTTAAGAGGGCTCTCCATCTGTTTCTTTCTTGCTCACAGTGTGACCTAGGCAATTTTCTTCCACTCTCTTGGCCTGCACTTTCTTGGCTGAGAAATGCCGATTCTAAGATCTATCAGGATATGAGTGAATACCATTCATTCATTCATTCATTCATTGTTTTCAACAAATTTTCACTGCACACACTGGACATACAGAAATCATGGCCTGTCCCTACCTTCCAGAGTCTCACTGTCTGTTAAAAGTTGCCCTTGATGATATCTCCGATGGGGGAGATGAGCTAGAAAATACTTAGTTCCAACTCTTCATGATAAACATTGTGGCAGAAAGAAGGAAGCAGAGACATGGTGAGAACATAGGGAGGTGACTAAACTACCCAAGGAGAGGAGCAGGGAAGGCTTCTTGGAAAGTGGGTCCATTCTCTCCACAATGCCACAGACTTGTGTAGAACTTGCATGTCCTCTGCTAATGCCTTCCACCTTCCAAGATGATGTCTAGAGAAGGACCCTGAAGGCTGGATGATCAGTTTATATTGCTGGCCTGCAGGCTGATGTTCTGGGTGGTGGAACATTCTGCCCTTCTCTGATTTACTGCCCATGACTCAGCCCCACCCAAGTCAATAAAACACACAGTGAAGACCTGCCTTCCCCAGCACATTCAGTATGCTGCTGGATCATTCCTCTCCTCTCTCAGGATACATTAAACTCTTGTTCCTGGCCTTAGCTGTCCTTGTCGTCCTGGCTCAGGCTTCCCCAGGTAACCACACCGTGGAATGGAGGGAAAAGGGAGTAAGAATGGGGTCCTACTCATAGAATCATTGGAAAACTGAACATGTGTGGGAATGAGGACAGCCCACAGGGATGGCTGAGATCTGGTAAAAAGCCTTATAGTGAGTATCAGGGCAGTCTGTCACCCCAACCATGACGATGCTTCTCGTTAGGAAACCTGGCGAATATCAGCAGAGGCCACGGTGTCTTGTATGAAGTCCCTTCCATATGCAGAAGCAACCCCAGCATCCCTGGTGTCCTTAATATCCTTGGCCCAAATGTCAACAGGGTCTCATCCCAGGCGTCTCTCGCTTCACCCTCACTTCCAACTGACACCACCTTTTGCAGTAACCAGTCCCATTACTTCACCTCTCCATTGTTGTTTGGCTTTGAATGTTCCTTTGAAGCAATCAGAGGAGGCATCTTTCTCTTAGTATATATCGTGAAAAATTTATAGATCGATGTTGGATATCTACAGGTTTGTAAAAATAGGCTCAAGGTGGTGGACCTGGCGTTAGGGCAGATGATTCTGGATTCCAAACTAAACATGCCAAGCTCTCTAACAACAAAGCAGTGAATACTTTTCTAATGGAAATGTTTTCCACTTAGGCTTCCTGGTGATTCTAAACTTTATGATTTTTAATTCCATGATTTCCCTTTGGGTCCTTGCTGTTGGAAGTTGCGTTCTCTCTTGGATCAGTTTTTCAAACTGAAAGTCTTTGTCAATCTCCTGGTTGTTGTTCTAGAAGTAGAAGAAGGTAATTGCAGCTACCCCTGAGTTGCTTTCAGCCTGCCTTAAACTCCGGTGAGGGCAGCTGGAGTAGAGGAGGGAGCTGCAGATACAAAAGACATTTGGAAGAAAGAATCTGCACATTGACGCATGGAATCAGAGTCATCTTGACTCTGATTTTTCTACTCTGAATATCCTGGTGAGAAAGAGAGAATGGGGAATTATCTCCCAGGAGGAAAGTTTGGGAAAAAAACAAATAGAGGAAATATGAAATTTAAACTAAGACACTATGATCTCTCAACTGAACCCAATGTACTGGGGAAGCTGGGTCTACACTCTGTGTTTTTTTGACCTGGTAGGGCTGAGTCATGAATGATAAATCATATAAGGGCAGAGTGTTATGTCATCCAGAACATCAGCCTGCAGGTTAGCAATATAAACTGATCATTCAATATTAAAAGTCCTGCTCTCGACATCATCTGGGGCATGCACCTAGAATAGTGCCTGGCACATGGCAGGTGCTCAACAAATCACTGTTGACTGAATAATGAATGGAGAGGGGGGGAAAACCTCAGATAATTGAAGGCTTAGGCCCACTCCTTGGCAAGCAACCTAGATTTGGGGACAAGGAGGAACCAGTGTTGGCGAGACTAAAAAATGATGGAGATGGAAACATTATAAGAATAGAAATAAAGTCCAATTAGAGCTGGTTGGAGGCAGGAAGATAACTACTCATATCTAGTACATGTCAAAACCCACAGTAAGTATTCTGCACACAGATTTATTTAAATCTTCCCATTAGATTTCAATAGTTCATTCTAACTATTATTTCTACTATTACCAATATCCTTAGTATAATAGTCTTTATGAATTTGTTTATTCATCTCTTTGTTTATTTTGATAGATGGATGGGTCAAAAGGTGCAGTTATAGAACTGGCAGATGCAGGGAATTTTGCAAAGAAAATGAGAAGAGGAAAGAAAGATGTGGGGCAAGAAAATTTTGCTGCATCCCCGCATTTAAGCATAAGCCATCAGATAGTCTCGTGAAACAAGAGACACCGTATAAGGCTATGGCAAGTATAACTAAGTATCTATTTAAGACTAGTTACAAAACACTCATTATAATGAGTCAGTGAAATGGACATCCAGGGCACCTGCATGGTCCTTAGATTCTTAGATACAGGCTGGATTCCTCACATGGTCCATTAAAGAAAATACGCTCATTCCAGCTATCGTTATATCTTATGTCTCTAGTCCTCTGTAGCCTAACATCTCTAGGTTGTCCCAGGATATGACTGATAATATCCATTCTCATGGAAAGACAATTTTATAGGATCTAGTTCCTGAATTCCTAATCTTCTGACCAGGTGCTACCAGGTCCCTAAATGTGGAAGTTTCCCAAGCAAATTCCACCTTGACCACATATTCTTATCTAAGGTCTCATCCTGGATTGTTGAGATAGGCCAGTGTGATCCAGAGATCTTCTTTGCTGCTTTAGCTCGAGGTTCAGCCCAAGGTTCTGTGTCATGGTCTCACTCTTGGAATGTATCCCTTGCTCCAATTCCCTGATCACACTCGGCTGTCCAAAGATGGCCATACCCTTTGACCAGGAGGCAACCATTCCCACCCCAACCAAATGGAAGGGAAAAATAGTAAAAAACGAAAAACAGAAAAACTCAACATTTATTGAGAACTTACAGTGTGCAAGGACTTGTCCTAAGCACTTTACATACACACCTCATTTTGTCCTAACGACAGCTCCATGCGGTAGGAACTGGTATTATATCCCTTTGCCAGAAGAGGAAACTAAGTAACAGAGAGTTTAAGTGATTTGCCCCAAATGGCACAGGGAGCTAGTTCAGTAGCAGCACTTTGAACCCATGATGCCCAAGTTCAGACATTATGCTTCCTCAAAGTGGAAAATTGCTGCAGACATGACAGCTTCCCTTTACTCTTCCTGACTTCCTTAATGTGGAAGGTGTGGTGGAAGGGAAAGCTTTGTGAGACTCCTTGTGGTTAAAAGTGTAACACACACAGCCCTAACTGGTATATCCAGCCACAAACAGAAATTTTCCCTGAATTGCAGTTAAGGAGGAAGTTGTTCCCAGTTAGCAGACAGTCTTAGTTCAGAGGCCAATGCCGGTAAGGTATAAAGTTGAAAATTATCCCTAGCCTTGGTTGACATAATTATTTGGAGAACACAGTCTGAAGACAAGGTACAGCCATCAGCACCATAATGGCAGCTTCTAACATTTCAACGCATTTCTCAAAGTACTTTCACACCAATTCTCTCATTTTCCCCCACTGCAATACTATAAAGTAATCTTTATGTCCCAAGCCTTAAAGGATGTCCTTGGGATATCTTGAAAGTGGATCAGAGACAGGATCTCAGATTACCTAGGCACAGTGAGTCCAATTAGTACTTCAACTTCAACTCAGACCATACCTAGGGCTGCAGAAAATCCTTAGAAGCCACCCGTTCTTGTACCAAGAGTTTTTATATATTTTTGGTCGGAGAAATTATGCCCACAAATGGACCCAGGAGTCTTAGAGAGTTATGTAAACATGACTCTAGGTCCATAGTCTCAAAATCTGAAAAGGGTACAGGAGAAATTCAGATGCACGAATAAGATGTGACTAAGTCACCTTACCACTCTGTCCTTAGTTTGCCCATGCCCAAAATGGAAGTGTTGGACTAGATTATCCACTCCATACGCCTTTCAACTCTTAAAGCCTTCTTCATTCTTTAAATTATGGTGACAATCCAGTCTCTACGTATGACTTCAGAAGATGCCACTTTAGAGAGCAAAAGCATGGAGGATGAAGAGAGAGGCTGAGAAACAGGAAAGTGGCCTCAACTTAAGTACTCAAAGCATAATCCTAAAATACATCTCAGACACCTTCTTGTTCCTCACTGTCCCCCTACACCCATCATGTCAGCCACAAAGACCTTCCAAGTGTGCCTCCATCGCACCTATTCTCCATCCTGCCTCTTCTATTCTAATTCGGCCATCATCTTCTTTCCCCATTATTATGGGCTGAACTGTGTCCCCTCAAAATTCATATGTTGACGTTCTAATCCACAGTGTGTGATTACATTTTGTAATCACACTCCAGAATGTGACTACATTTGCAAATAGGGTCTAAATTTAGAGATAATTAAGTTAAAATCAGGTCATTAGGGTGGGCCCCGATCAAATATGACTGATATCCTTATAAGAAGAAGCAATTGGGACACACAGAAGGAAAACCATGTGGAGATGCAGAGAGGATGGCATTCTACAAGTCAAGGAGAGAGGCCTCAGAAGAAATCAACGCTGCCAACACTTTGATCTTAGACTTTTAGACTCCAGAATTGCGAGAAAATAAATTTCTCGTCTTTAAGCTAACCAGTCTCCAGTACTTTGTTATGGGAGCCCTAGTAGATTAACCCACACACACTGTAACATTTGCATCCTACTGGTCTCTTTGTCTCCCATTACACCTTTGACTCACTCCAATCATTCAATACAGTCGCCAGGGGGTCATTTCTAAAACCCAAGTCGGACATTTTTATTTTTCCTTTCAAACTCTTCAAAAGCTGTACAATGATTACAGGAGTCAACTCGAAACTCCCTTTCTGATAATCCCCTGCCCACCTCAGTAGTCTCCCTTCAAGCCCCATCATGGATCTCACAAGCAACTTGTGTTCTTGGCAATTAATCTGTTTCTTGCTCTTTTTTTTAAATAGGTTTCCCCTCTTGCTGGAAAGATTCTTCTTGAAAACCAGACTTAGACGTCTCTGTAAGCAACACTAAACAGTACTTCTGCCTGCCCTAAGCCATGTCTACTCATTCCTTTTTTCCCGCCAAAGGGACCTTTTTATTTATTTGCTTTTTACATTTTTACAAATAAAAATGGTATATATTTAGAACATACAATGTGATGATTTGATGTACATATACACAATCAAGTTAATTAACACATGCATCACCTCAAATAGCTGTCTTTTTTCAGATGAGAACACTTAAGACATACTCTTAGCAAATTTCAAGTATACAATCAAGTATTAGTAACTATAGTCACCATGCTGTACATTAGATCCCCAGAACTGATTATCGTATAACTGAAAGTTTGTACCCTTTGATCAACAAATCTCCATTTCACCCACCCACCCAGCCCTGGCAACCACCTTTCTACTCTCTTCTTGTATGAGTTCAACTAATTTAGATTCACCATCTAAGTGAGATCATACAAAATTTGTTTTCTGTGCCTGGCTTATTTCACTTAGCATAATGTCCTTCAGGTTCATCTGTTTTGCCAGAATGGCAGGACTTCCTTCTTTTTAACACTGAATAATATTCCTCTGTATATACATGTACTTATGATATATATGTACATGTGATACATATATTACATTTTCTTTATCCATTCATGCATGGGCAGACACTTAGGTTGTTTCCATATCTTGGCTATTTTGGATAATGCTGCAACGATCAAGGGAGAGTACATATCTTTTCAAGATACTATTTTAGTTTTCTTTGGGTATATACCCAGATATGGAATTGCTGGATCATAAGGTAGTTCCATTTTTGAGTTTTTGAGGAAACGCAATACTGTTTTCCATAATGGTTGTATCAATTTACATTCCGCCAACAGTGTACAGGATTCCCCTTTCTCCACATCCTTGTGAACACTTGTTATCTCCTGTCTTTGGCATAATAGCCATCCTAACATGTTGAATATCTCATTGTGGTTTTGATTTGCATTTCCCTGATGATTAGTGATGTTAAGTATCTCCTCGTATACCTGTGGACAATTTGTATGTCTTCTTTGGGAAAATGTCAATTTGGATCCTTTGCCCATTGTTTAATTAGATTATTTGGTTTTTGCTATTGAGTTGTATGAGTTCTTTACATATTTTGAATATTAACTCCTTATCAGATGTATGATTTTCAAATATTTCCTCCCATTCTGGAGGTTGCCTTTTCACTCTGTTAATTCTTTCTTTTGCTATGTGGAAGGTTTTTTTTTAATTTTTAATTGCAGTAACATTAGATTATAACATTATATAGCTTTCAGATGTATATCGCAATATATTTCGAATTCTGTGTAGATTGTATCATGTTCACCACCCAAAAACTAATAAACTTCGCTCTAAGAATCGCTTTTGCTGTATCCCATAGATTTTGGCATGTTGTATGTTCATTTTCATTTGTCTCCAGGAATTTTTCGATTTCTCCTTTGATTTCTTCATTGACCCAATCATTGTTGAGTAGCATTTTGTTTAATCTCCACATTTTTGTGGCTTTTCTGGTTTTCTTCCTGTAGTTGATTTCTAGTTTCATACCTTTGTGGTCAGAAAAGATGCATGGTGGGGGCTGGCCCCGTGGCCGAGTGGTTAAGTTCGCGCGCTCCGCTACAGGCGGCCCAGTGTTTCGTTGGTTCGAATCCTGGGCGCGGACATGGCACTGCTCATCAGACCACGCTGAGGCAGCGTCCCACATGCCACAACTAGAAGAACCCACAACGAAGAATACACAACTATGTACCGGGGGGTTTTGGGGAGAAAAAGGAAAAAAATAAAAAATCTTTAAAAAAAAAAAAAAAAAGAAAAGATGCATGGTATTATTTCGGTCTTCTTAAATTTATTGAGACCTTTTAATGTGCTGTTGAAAGCAATTTTCTAGTATTTTCTGAGGAATTTAGCATTGATGTTCATCTGATATATTGACCTGTAATTTTCTCTTAGTGTCCTTATCTGATATGAAGTGGTAATGTTGGCCTCATAAAATGAGTCTGCAATTTTTGGGAAGAGTTTGAGAAGGATTGATGTTAGTTTTTCTGTTAAATGTTTGGCAGAATACACATGTGAAACTGTCTGGTCCTGGGCTTTTCTTTGTTGGGAAGCTTTTGATTACTGCTTCAATTTCCTTACTCACTGTAGGTGTTTAGATTTTCTTTCTTCACAATTTAGCCTGGGTAGGTATGTTTCTAAGAATTTATCCATTTCTTCCAGGTTATCCACTGCTGACATATAATTATTCAGAATAGTGTCTTATGATCCTTTCTATTTTGGTATTATCAGTCAATGTCTCCTCTTTCATTTCTAATTTTATTTATTTTTCTCCTCTTTTTTTTCTTGGTTAGTTATTTTTTGTTTATGTTTTTAAAAAATCAACTCTTAGTTTTGTTGATCTTTTCTATTATCTTGCTAGTGTCTATTTATTTCTGCTATAATCTTTATTATCTCTTTTCTTCTGCTAACTTTGGGCTTAGTTTGTTCTTCTTTTTCTAGTTCCATGAACTGTAAAGTCAGTTGTTGATTTGAGATCTTTATTTTTCTTAATGTATGTGCTTTTGCTGCATCCCATAAGTTTTGGTATATTTTCTTTCCATTTTTGCTTGTCTCGGGTACTTTTTAATTTCTTTTTTGGTTTCTTCTTTGACTCATTGGTTATTTAGGAGTGTATTATCTAGTTTCCACATGTTTGTGAATTTTCCAGGTTTCCTCCTGTTACTGAGTTTCAGTTTCATTTTATTGTTGTCAGAAAAGTTACTTGATAAAATTTCTATGTTCTTGAATTTGTTGAGACTTGTTTTGTGGCCCAATATACGATTGATCTATTCTGGGGATTTCCAAGTGCACTTGAAAAGAATATGTATTCTGTTGCTGTTGAGTAGAATGTTCTGTAAATGTCTGTTAGATTCATTAGGTCTATCATGTTATTTAAGTCCATCGTTTCCTTATTGATTTTCTGTCTGGACAATCTATCCATTGTTAAAAGTGGAGCATTTAAGTTCCCTACTATTATCATATTGCTGTCTATTTCTCCCTTCAGTTCCAATAATATTTGCCTTATATATTTATGTAATCCAATGTCAGGCGCATGTGTATTTATAATTGTTATATCTTTTTGATTAATTGATCCCCTTATCATTCTGCAGTTACTGTCTTTGTTTCTTTTGACTAATTTTTACTGAAAGTCTAATTTTTCTGATATAAATATAGCAGCCACTCCTGCTTTCTTTTGGTTACCAGTTGCATAAAATATCTTTTTCCATCCTTTCACTTTCAGTCTCTGTGCATCCTTAAAGCTAAAATTGGTGTCTTAAAGGCAGCATTTGGCTGAATCTTGTGTTTTTTATCTACTCAGCCAGTCTGTGGGGTTGTTTTGAGAACTTAATCCATTTACATTTAAAGTAATTATTGATAGGTAAAGACTTACTATTGTGTATGCTTTGCTTCCTTTCTCTTTCTCTTTTGGGAATCTACTAGAGGTCTTTTCTTTGCATTTACTATGAGGATTACATAAAACAACTTAGGCTATTTTAAGCTGCCAGTAACTTAACTTTAAATGCATACAAAAACTCTACACATTTACTTCTTCTCCCTATTTTATGCTATTGATGTCTCACTTCACATATTTTTACATTGTGTATCCATTAGCAATTTTTTTTTTTTGAGGAAGATTAGCCCTGAGCTAACTACTGCCAGTCCTCCTCTTTTCTGCTGAGGAAGCCTGGCCCTGAGCTAACATCCGTGCCCATATTCCTCTACTTTATATGTGGGATGCCTGCCACAGCATGGCTTGACAAGCGGTGTATAGGTCCACACTTGAGATCCAGGCAGATTCTGCTGGGCAGTAGAAAACCAAAAAGCAGGGTCTGTCCCACACTTATGATGGCCTGGGAAAGGGGAGAGCCACATTCTATCCCCAATGCCATTGCATTAAGAGATGCTTAAATGCGGTTAAGTGTGCACGTTCACTTCAGTGGCCCAGGGTTCGCCGGTTCAGATACCGGGTACAGACATAGCACTGCTTGGCAAAAGCCATGCTGTGGTAGGCGTCCCATGCGTAAAATAGAGGAAGATGGGCATGGATGTTAGCTCAGGGCCAGTCTTCCTCAGCAAAAAGAGGAAGATTGGTGGTCATTAGCTCAGGGCTGGTCTTCCTCAAAAAAATAAAAAGATGTCAACACCATTCAGCATTGAAGAATCATTTTCTTAAGCATCCACTGTGTGCCAGGGTCAGTGACATGGCCTGAAGACAGAGTAACAACTTAGACTAATATGGTCCCTGCCTGAACAGGGCCTTCTAATGTATTAAAGTTTAAACCTAAAGGTAGTCAACAGGAGGCAGCATAGAGGAGATTTGAGGAGTAACATGAATTGGCAGCAGTGGTTAACAGTGTGGAGACCAGGGCAGGAGAACATGAGGCCTGTGTTCTGGAGAACCTGGGAGAGGCAATGAAGACTGGGGGTTAGAAATACAGCTGTGGAACCAAACAGCCTTGGATGTTGGGCAAGTCACTTAATTTTTATGGGTGATATTTATACAATTATAACAATAATAGTACTTTCTCCTTTGAATTAAAAGGTTTAATATAAGTAAAGTGCTGTGAAGAGTGAGTTCCCAGTATGTAAGTTCACAGTAAGTGTCAAATCTCACCACCATCATCTTTTCTCTAACACTGGGGGGTCTTATCTCTAACTATGTAACTGTGTGCATTTTGAGAAAATCTCATATCTAGCAGTAAGGTCTCTAGGAAGTGTGCTATCACAGTATGGGTTAGTATATCTATACTTGATAGGATGCATGTTGGTATTTGTCCCGAATTTCCAGTCTCCTTTCCTACAAGGAACTGAGAAAAAAACAGTTAATCAGTCTGGCTAAGGAAAAAGATTTTGTCCAATTTGACCTACATGCCCCTTTGACCTTTGCTCATGAAGTGAGGTTTTGTGTATCTGACATGTTTACTGCTACTAAAGGAACGCCATGGATTAGTGTACAT